TTTGACCTTGATTCAATTATTATAAGGTCAAGGTCAATCTTTTACATCAAAATAGAGTCCAGGCCTTAGCTTGAGTATCCTTTGATATTAGGACTTCAAACTTGTAACATAGAAAGAAAACATTGTTACAAGATGCAACGCTTCAAAATTTTGACCTTGACCCCTTTCTTCAAGGTCAAATAGAGAAAACATGACTAGACCATAACTTGAGAACCCTGACATTAAGACTTCAAACAAGAACATGGAGAGGTGGTGTAGAGGAAGGGTGAATGGCAACTTTTTTTTCACCTTGACCTATTAATAAAGTCAAGGTCAATCATTAACATGAAAATATAGTCTAGGTCATAACTTGAGAACTTTTTGACATATAGGATTTCAAACTTGGAACAAGGAAAGACAACATCGAGACTAAATGCACTGCATCAAAATATTTGACCTTGACCACTTTCTTCAAGGTCAAATTAAGAAAAACACAACCAGACCATTACTTGAGATCCGTTTGACATGAAGACTTGAAATTTTGTACACAGAATTTGAGTTGAGATGCACTGCATTATTATTTTTCACCCTGATCATATATTTGCACTCGTTAATGTTGGTAAAGAAGGGGAGACATCTGTTTTTTTTTTGTAAAAAAAAAAAAAAAAAAAAAAAAAAAATACCCACTAGTAACAGTGTAGTTTTGTCCAATTCTTCATGTTTTACTCACTGACTACGCGAAAGAAAAAAAATCAAAAACTCAAAAATTTGCACCTGAGCATGAAAAAAAAAAAAATCAAGGACTTTGTAGAAAATTTGTCTAAATTATGAGGAGCCCGGAGAAAATGAACATATCAAATACGCAGCTAGACGAAAACACCTCTTAGAAATATTAGAACACAAACGCAGATGTACATATTGAATCATGATGATATTTCACCCCACCCCACCTTCACTCTCTTGATGAAAATGCTTAATACAATAAAGTTATGGATTCTATTAGGGCTTTTTAAATTCAGCAAATGTCTTATTCTTTTATAATTCCAATTTTAATTTTATTTATTGATTTCCTGTGTTTTGATTGGACGAGAACAAATTCAAGAAAAAGTTTACACATCGATAAATTCTCAATCACAACTACTTTCTTGACCTAGCTTTTATTGTAAGAACAAATGAAAACAAATCGTTAGGCCTACTTCTGTGTTTTAGCTAAACAATTACAGAAACTTGAAATTAATTTTAAATAAAAACAAAACTGACTACATACAGGACTGACAGACGGGAATATTATGTTTATGTCACTGTCAGATCACGAGTGCAAATTTTAACTCTCTGAAGTCATATTCTCGACGTTCCTAATAGGCCTACAAAACAAATCAGCTCAGTTCCCGGTAGTGCTGTGATAGGATAGAGAAACGTACCTTAGACTCTTGCATTATTAGCATCAAATTCATTTTTCTACATCCTACATTCTGTCCCGTCTTTGAACAAACCAGAGCAAATCAAGGTTGTCGTCGGTCTGCTACTTTCGTTTTAGAGCGTCTGTCGTTATATTGTCAACATGGTCTATATATGCATGGTCAAGGATGAATTCTTTTGAAGTCTACTTGTATTTACGATATTTGTTGACTTAAACAATATTGTAAGAGTTTTTATAAGCATATTTTATTAAATGTTTTGACAATTAAAGTTGAACTTTATCGACGTTCATCTCGATTGCGATTCATTTGCACATCGCGGCATAAAGTATTCCTACGCTGTACAGAATAACAGATTGTATGGAGGCTTCAAAGAGAAATAGTTTTACAATTTCGTAATTGGAATTACAAGAATTAAACGTTCTTTTTCAGAAGGCATGAGTTTACACATCGATGAATTCTGAAAAAAGAACGTTTAATCCTATAGTACAATTTGTCATAAAAGAATACTTGAAATGAACATGGCCAAAAGTGCGTTGCTATACCCATTAACATCAAATCAAAATGTTCTCAGCAGAAAACAATATGAACCCAGGTACAGTACCAGAGGAACTTCGAGATTTAACTATCATAGAACAGGAACTTACTAGAATAGCTCCATGTATTAATGTCAATATATTAAATCATGGGGTATTGCATCATCTGGTCATTGCGTCACATTTCCTCAAGAAATTAATTAACCAGCCAGAATTTTTCCTAGGTTACCACGTGAAATTCAAATTATATAAGTTAAAAAAACAAAGGGAAAATGATACAATTAAGGATTTCAGAGTCCGTAGCTGAAAAATTGAAAGTCTTTTAGATGGGTAAAAAAAAAAAATCCAGCCTATTCTGATATAATAATAGTACAAACACATTACAAGCAATCCCTGAAGATGGATAACTAACAGATATGATGACATTACAAATCAAAGAAAATACTGTGCATTTTAAATACAGGTCTCTGTAAAAATCAGGCAAAGGGTGAATCATGAGGGTTCTCAGAATTGGATGATTTTCCATATATAGATTTCTTTCGCACTTTGAACTATGAATGTAAACTTAAAATCAAATTGGATTATGGTTACTATGGAAACCTGGCTAAAGAAATTTCCCTAGCAACCAGCCAATTTTCCATATTTATGGACCAAAAAATCACTTATATTTCAGGCTTGAAATTGAATGCGAATATTACAAGAATTCTTTTAATGGATGTTATCGTAAAGATGAACGTTAACATTTAAAGTGTTTTAACAGTGCAAAACATAGAAATTAGATTTTAAGACATCTCCGTCATAGGCAGTGTAAGATACGCATGTTTTGCATTTTTTGCTGATTTTTGTAAATTTCAGCACTATTCAAGCCCATATTTTCTAAACTTCTGACACAAATACATAAGTTTCGTATATTTTACACAAAGGCAGAGGAACGTCAATTATGGAATTTAAATTTAAAAAGGTGTGTTTTTTGATATTTCCCATCCGTTGCCTAGCAACAAAAATGGGTGTTTTGATGAAGAAGAAAGAGTAATTGTAAATTGTGGGATATATAAATCGAATAAAATGTTGCCGTTGAGTACCAAAAAAAAAAAAAAAATTTTGCAATAAGAAAATTTATCTGAGACTTCTTTACAAACCAAGGAACGTTGTGCAAATACTTATCGCCATAGCAACAGAAAATTGCCCATAGCAACAAAGAAATAAAGTTTCTTTTTGGCACTGATGCATTCCTGTAAAGATTAATAGAGATTATTTTTTGTTTCACTCTAAATTTCAAAACATTTCTTTAATTAGCACATTTAACAATATGAAATTGATCTTGATTAAAGTATATGTTGTATTTGATTAATCCATGGTAACGATTCTGAGCTTATAACGCCAACATATCTCATGAAGAATTACAAGCATTTCTTTGCAAGCAATTTAAGACCCAAAGTTAATGTAAGAAAAAAGAATATTTTCATAATGACAACTTTTTGTGGTTGCTGATCTTAAATGATTATTGTAAAGTATTTTCTTATTTAAACATACGAAGTAACACCATTACTATGGGAAAAGGTACAAAGACTGAAGAGTTCACTGTAACGATTGGTAAACCGGTCTCACTAACAATCATGAACACGCAGTACTTACAGTTAAGGTTACAAATGGAAATACCGGCGAATATTTTTAATAGAAATTACATTCTTTACAACGATGGGCGATTCTTTTTAGGACTGAACTATTATCGGACAAATGTAATGCGGTTGAAAACTACATGTTGAGGATGATTAGATTTCTTATCTAGACTTGTGACGTAATGTGACAGTCACGTCGTTGTAGCAAATTTACCTGCAGTATTGAGGTCATCTATAAATTCCAATATTGCAAGGGCATAACCACGTTAAAAATCTAAGTTTAATTAATTATTATTTTCATCACTCTTTGTAGTTTGTGAAAAGTGCTGCGAACCTATATAGATTCTACTATATAATTGCTAAAATTACGTTTGTTAGACCTTATGTTGAATATTTTGCTGGTCAAGTACATTAAATATAGATATAATTAATTCGTTTGCAAGATTTCATCAGGTTCGCAGCACTTTTCAAATATCTTGATACCTCTTGAATTTATGTGTAAAAGCTTGTCATAATTCATTGAGGGTATGCCCTTGCAATATATCGATTTATTATGACCCTTCTATTACCCTTCAATGAATCTGCATACAAAATTACGGCAGTATCGCTTATCTAGTAAATGCAATGGAAGTATATGAATAAAATCATAAAATTGACATCGCATCCAAGTTAACGGCCTCTTATATATCTGCAAATATATTTTATTTAATTACAAAATACATTTTTTCATTGTATAAAATATAACTTATCCGCCTCTCACTGCATACGTTTGCGATATGACGTCACATTGACAATTGCATTGCGATCAGTGAATTCTTTATATATTGCTGTGTGGGATTTAACCAACAACAAAAATACATGCAATAGTAAGTATTGATGTAGTTTAAAGCTATCCAACAGTTTAAAATAGCAAATCATTTCATTTTGTGGTAATTTGAAGAACATATATTTTTGTGTGATGTCATATTAAGCATTTCCCGTAAAAATTAGGCCCCGCCTCCTTATTGCAGCCTTAACTGTGCTGCGCACTTAATGGCTTAAAAAAGGATCATGCATATATACAAAAAAATACAAATACAATACAAGTTTACATATTATGACACTTTAGTATTATTCTAATTTTTCTTCAAAAATATTTTGCCTTCAGTCAGTGTGGATTTTTTTTTAAAGCGTTGAACTTCCAGATACATGTAGACCCAATGCAATATGTGACGATAATTTACATGGATCTAGCATATTAGATCCATTACTTAGTATATTCACAAACCCAAATGCATAATGATTATATTATTTAAAAAAAATCTTTGAAAACAATTAAAAAACAAATTCGTGTTCTCTGTTTGTAATAAAAAAAAAATCGTAAAATCGTCCTACAACGGTTCAAGAGCGATTTTTTTGTAAGAGTTATTTCCCTCTGAGAACTCTTCTGTATAACTGATGTAAACAATATGGCAGACGTACCAGACGTCAGTTGTTCCATCGCCTGTGTATCCAATGCTATAAAAACACCCTGCACAGTATCTTCAAGATTTCCTCACGAATTTGGAGTAAGGAAGTTAAGTGAGTGTAAAAGGCCTATTTACAACCATTTAAGACAGTGCTCAGTAAGTAATTCCGACATAGCAAGCGAAGGGCAACTGATAGCCGTACGATGTGGTTTGTTTGAAGTTGATCTCAGCTTATACACTGTGTGCCCCTTCCATAGAGACAATCTCGGAATAGCATGGCACGAAAAATCTACGTGCCAGTATCCTCTTCATGAAGGGAGGGCCAAGCCATACCGCAGATTTACGCTCCAATTGAGCAAGCTGGTTTTCAGTCATTTTGCCTTATTGGTACCAGTTGGCTCAGGTATGTGTACAGTTTTAATTTATTGTGCAGTTTTATAACTTCCTTGAAACAGTGGGCCAAAAATAAATTCACTGTACTCTTGTAATATACCAAAGAAGTGTGAATTCAGGGGCAAAAGGGGGGGAGGTATAAGGACACAAATGAAATAAATCAAACATCAGTGATATGGTGTCAAAAAGGAATGTTAAACGACTTTTTTGCAAAAAAGATAATGAAGAATTAAAATGTTCCTAACATCATATATGAAAGTACATGTATACAAACTGTACAGGAAATTCATTGCAATGATCATTTGTTAATTGTAGGCATTTGCCGTAAGTGTATTGACCTTGTCCACAACCTGCCTGATATTTTTAAGGAAAATCTGAAACAGACAGACTTGAAGGTATATGTACTACAATGAAATCAAAAAGAAATTCTTTAGAACATACATGGCATGTTTCTGCTAGGAATAAGGGAAACTGTCCCAACCATGTATGTAAGGAAACAATGCAAATGTTGATTTCTATTGAATGTTTCTTTACTAAAATATTTTAAATATTTTAATATTTACATATCTAATAACATAGCAACAGTAAAATACTGTAATTTACTTACTGAATAAAAGTGATATTTTGCAACAGTGTGAAATATCATGGTGATATTTTGTCACTGTGTTAATTAAAGAATATATATCAACAGTGTGACAAAACTAGAAATTTTCCTTCCCTTCATGAAGAGTGTTGGAAAAAAAATACTCAATGGCTTATTTTAAGATAGAGTCAATGAAACATCCTGAAAGAGGCTTGAGGACTCCCAAAGTTTCTCCAAATGTGTTGAAACCATGTTTACAAGGTTTTCAATCTCCCATCCCTAAGCTATGACATCTCAACTTTGATGTCACAGTATATGATGTTGTTTTGCTAAAAGATGGAGGCAAAGGGAAAAGAAAATGCAATAAACAGAAAATTCAATATTTTGTAGTTGTACATGGAATTTTTTTCACTCGTGAGACAGGATTTTTTTATTGTGTTAACCAGTGCGAAGCATGAATGAAAATTTTTAAAAAAACCTGTTCCAGTAGTGAAATAAATTCCATATATATATATATATATATATATATATATATATATATATATATATATATATATACCTTGGAGTTTGACCTACTTGTATTTAAATAGTAGGTCAAACTAAGGTCAAAGCATTGAGGTAAAAAAATCTTGGTATATTGAATGGGTCTGCCTTACTGGGGCATCGGCGTTTCACAAACTTGAATTTCAATCTCACATCCCTAAGCTATGACATCTCAACTTTGATCTCTTTGGTATATATATAGCCGTCACCAATTGAAAGTCATGTGCACACTTAGCATATAGGATATCAGGGTTGTCCTTAAGTCCCTGAGGCCAGGGAATTTCCCTGCCTTTAATGATATAAACCGCCGGTTATTCTGGTACATATGTATTTCCCCTCAACCCTCTATTAGGAGAGGAAACCTAAAACCCCTTTCTACTTTTTAAATGTTCCCGGTGAATACCAAAAAACAGTTCTTACGGACAACCCTAGGATATTCTAACAGTAACTTGTATTCATATCTTCATGTATGATTAATTTATTTTTAGGCTGAAAATGTGGATGAAAAGAATTTCTCATCTGATGTTACACAGGTACATGTAATTTTGGTACATGCATTAAAATATTTTTAAAACACAAATTGAATGACTGATAACTTAGGAGTACTGAGTTACTTTAGCTTTATATTCTACATGTTCAACATGTTCCATGAAACTAACTCCTTTCACTCCAAACATTATTTTACAGAGGTGTGCTGAACATAACCTGCAAGCATTTCAGGACGAAGTTGATGGGATATACACTGAAAATTCAGATCAGGTACATAATTTTTAGCTCACATGGGCCAAAAACTCAAGTGATTTAGTGTCAACTGCCTATCATCTTTGTTGTAAACTTTTCATATTTTCATCTTCTGAAGAACCACTGAGCCAAATTCGATTGCTATCTGTAAGAAATTATGAAACTTATGTGAAAGCTTCTGGATATGGAGAAAATTCAAGTTTTTTATGCCCGGCCATGAATATGGCCGGGGCATATAGTGTTTGTTATGTCCGTCTTCCGTCCTTCTGTCTGTCCTTCCGTCACACTTTGCGTTTAGCTCTGTTCAAATCTCACTTTCATAGAAACTATCCAAGTTATTTTTATCAAACTTCATATGCTGATAGATATTGATGAGAGCTATGCAACTGCATCAACATTTTTTGACCTTGACCTTTCCTTTGACCTTGACCTCACTTTTCGTAAATTACTGTTTAGCTCAGTTTTAAAGATACCATTCAAGATAGTGTAATCAAACTTCATATGTTGATACATACTGATGTAAGCTATTCAACTGCATCAACATTTTTTGACCTTGACCTTTCTTTTGACCCTGACCTCACTTTTCTTTAATTACTGTTTAGCTCAGTTTTGATTAAACCATTCAAGATATTTTAAACAAACTTCATATGGTGATACATACTGATGAGAACTATTCAACTTCATCTATATTTTTTACCTTGACCTTTCCTTTGACCTTGACCTCACTTTTCTTTTAGAAGTGTCAAACTTCATATGCCGATACATACTGATGAGAGCTATTCAACTGCATCAATATTTTATCCTTGACCTTTCCTTTGTCCTTGACCCCACTTTTCTGAAATTAGTGTTTAGCTCTGTTTTAAAGAAACCATTCATAATATTTTTATCAAACTTCATATGCTAATACATACTGATGTAACTTTTTCAACTGCATCAACAATTTTTGACCTTGACCCCACTTTTCTTAAATTAGTGTTTAGCTCTGTTTTAAAGAAACCATTCATAATATTTTTATCAAACTTCATATGCTAATACATACTGATGTAACTTTTTTAACTGCATCAATATTTTTGACCTTGACCTTTCCTCTGACCTTGACCTCACTTTTCTCAATTTGTTAAAATGTTGCATTACTAATATACCCTCGGCGGGGCATTCATGTCCTATGGACATATTTCTAGTTTTTTCAAATCATGCAAGTCTTCCATGTGAATATGTATATATTTTTTTCTTTTTTGAAAATCTTCTTATTGCTAGTGCTCTATCCAATGACTATATAATTTGGAAAATGTATTTCATACTTTATTTAATTTCATACTCACCTGTAAATGTTGTTTCAAGAAAGATTTAGGATAAAAAGAAATTTCTCAATATTTTACATGCATTACGCAGCGTATGATATTTCATAGTGAAGATTTCATCATCACCTTGGTTCCGGTTCTCAATTGTGATTTGTTTTGATTTTCAGTTTTCATCACAGGAGAGCCCTCACCTGTCACAGATTTCAAACTGGAGTGAGGAAAATACCACCGGACTAGAGGCATTTAACAGTTTAGTCCAAACTTTATGAAAGGGAAAATTCAGCCCTTTGAAATATCAACTGCAGAAACCTCTTCAAGACATTACATCCCAAAACAGAAATTACTTACAGAAAAAAAAACATCGCAAATGGTCCATAGTATACTTGAAATGGTTGCTCCTGGACAGTCACAAGAGCTGTTAAATCTTATTGTCGAGCCTGACAGAACCACCAAATGCAATGAAGAATCTGAATATCTGTTGGAACTATTGACTAAAATTTACAATGAATCCACTTCTAATGTTGTGAAGGACCATACTCTCTCTTTAATGGCTGGACTGTCAACAAAAGAAAATCTGAAGAACAGAATCCCAGGACTAACAAAGTACCATATTGACAAAGTACGGGCAGTTTCACCAGACCAGATCTTTCAGAGGGTAAATGAACCACCAAAGAAAAGACAAAAAAATGGACCAATCCAAACTGGAACACTGTCTGTCATTTTTCTTCAACTCCTCTTTCCATCAGCTTATGTCCTATAGCACAAGGGAATTGGAACTTGACTCAGGTGAAACAATTGTGATTCCAGATGTCCTACGTACTGCTTGTCACTCTTCAATTATTGACATGTATGAAAAACATTGCGAGGATACTGATTTCTCACCACTATCAAGGGCTTCATTATTTCAAATACTGCATGCTTGCTCTGCTTCTAAGCGTCGCAATCTCTATGGCTTGGATAATATTACAGCAGATGGCCTAGCTGCTTTCAAGTCCTTGAGTAACATCATTAAGAATCTTGAAAACAAAGGCATTATCAACAAGGATACGAAAGCTACATTGACAAAACTTCTGTCAGAAAGCCAGAATTATCTTAAAAGAACCTTCAAGTTCCATGTCTTATTGAATTCTTCTTGTGCTGACCATTGTATCATGTGGCCTTGCAGTGACAGTAAAGATGCCAAATTTCAGTCAGTTTGTAACCATGATCATGTAGACAGCTGTCAACAGTGTGAAAATCTATCAATGGTCTCAGATCAGGTGTGCTCCTTAGATCTAGATGATGATGAGGCAATAGATGTCACAGAAGCAAGAAACAACATCCAAGCATGGAAAGCTCACATTGTTAGAACAATAAACCAAGATCGTGGGAGAGTGGACCTCCTAGATAGCATGCAGACATGTCATGTTCTGTTAGTAATGGACTGGGCCATGAAATTTCTTCCACTTTTGCACCGAGAGAGGCAATCAGACTGGTTTGGCCAAAAAGGGATCTCCTGGCATGTTACAGTTTGCATCACAAAAGATGATAAAGGATCTTTAAAGGTAAAATTTAAACAAAAAGCAGAAAAGAATTTATTAATCATGCATTCAGATTTCTTAACAATGAGCTTATACTTCTGAGAAAAATCCGTCTGACCCGTGGATAGCATTTGTAGAATCAAAAAAAAAAATTTGTTCATATATATTGTTTTCTCATTTTTTTCAGCATAGCACTTGGGTGCACATTTTTGAAAGTGGCAAACAAGACTGGTTCGCTGTAGCGTCCATCTTGGAACATACCCTCTCATCTGTGGTTCAGCAATATCCTTGCGTTAAAGAGGCTTTCCTCAGATCTGACAACGCTGGATGTTATCATAATGGATTTCTTTGGAGTTCGATTCCTAGTATATCTGAGAGAACAGGTAAATATAAATTTTGGTGTGTCTTTTATATACAAGGTATCAGGATTTGAGCATGCAAAATAGAGAATAGTAATATCCTTTTCCATATCACACCTTCCTGTCCTCTGCCTGATATTGGTGTCCCAGGCTAATGGAGAGTTTGATGTGGAAAAGGATATGTTTTATTTCCATTGCATACTTAGTAATAACATCAAAAACTGTAAATAATTTAAGTACAGTATAATTTATATGTTAACCGTTTTTAATAACATTTCTTGCAATTTTTTTTTTAAATTAAAAATAAAAACATAAATAAAAGTAAATAAAATTCCTACTTTTGTTTTTCAGTCCAGTAAATTCCTATTTTTTAACTCATCACTATTTTAGCACAGTGAAAGATTAAACTTACATTTGTAATTTAATGCAACATTTAATTTAAATGTTTATTACAACAGAAAGAAAGTATGTGTATTTCAGATAAACATACATACATAGGAAAAGAGAGAGAGAGTTTATTTTGAGGTCACAGTTTTATAGCTGTTTCAACATCCTTGCAATATGGTGATGTAATGTTTTCTTTGTCATATTTGCAGGAATACAGATTAAGAGCTACAACTTTAGTGAGGCGCAATCAGGAAAATCCTATTGCGATGCCAAAATTGCTCATCTTAGGAAGAAGATGAGAATGCATGTTGCAGATGGAAATGACATCAAGTTCCCAGTCGACATGAAGATGGCCTTAGATAGTGGAGGAGGAGTTACAGGATGCCAAGTAGCAGTTGTGGCCGTGGATTACAGTCATCAGCAGATAATCAGTCACAAATGGAAGGATGTACGCTTCATTACAGATCTGGAAGTAGAGTCTTGTAAGATGACCACGCACCATGCATATGACATTGGAAATGGAAATGTTATTGAGGCATCCTCAATGGTCTCCTCACAGCAAAATTCTACAGGTCTAAAGATCCTATCTGAGTTCAGGAAACCAGAGAAGCAAGAAGGACACATACAAAATCCAACTATTATTAAGGAGCCCCTCCAGTGTTTCCCTTGCTCAGAAGAGGGTTATGTTCAAAGTTTTTATACCTTTGAGGAATACGAGGAACACATGTACTTTGAAAAGCACACTTATGAATTTCATCAAAATTCAGATTTATCTACATTTGACAGGGTTAAGCTGAGGTGGGCAGAAAAATGTAATTTAGTCTCACAGAGTGAAGAGCAGATCTCCATGCCAATAGCAATGTGTGACTCTGACAAAAGCCAACAAGGTACTGCTACAAAAGGATGGGCACTTCAAAAGGAAAAGAAACAAGTGCGATTTAAGCAGCATGTGCGAGATTTCCTCAAAGAGGTATTCAAGACAGGAGAAGAGAGTGGGAAGAAGGCTAATCCTTTAGAAGTTGCATTGCATATGAAACAATAACTGGTGAGCGTATCTTTTCAGCCCAGGATTGTTTAAAACCAAGTCAGATTATGTCGTATTTCTCCAGACTGACATCCCAGTACAAAGATTCCTTAGCTAAAAGCAGGGAAGAAGAGGAAGAAGATGAGTACCTACAACACGTTATGAACGAAATTGAAATGCAGGATATCAAGAACATTGTATGGTTTGTGTGAAAACATTTTGTAACCTTATGTGATATGTTTATTTAATTACATACACACTTTTTAAAACTTTGACTCATCTTAGAAAAATCTACGATATTTTTAGCTTGCCTGAGCCAAAACTTTTCCGATCAGTGTGTCATCTGTCATGTATGTTATATTCATTTTTCATTTTGTAAGTAAATGTAGAAATCCAAAATTTTCAATTTTTTGTGTGCCAAAGTTAAATTAAATCTGGTAAGGGCCTGCTCAACATAGAGTTCATTTTCTAAATCAATCCTCATATATAATCTCCTTTTAGAGTAATATTTTACATATAAATTTTCTTGTTTAACCTGTTCGAATCTTTTCTGGTATGGTAATAGGTTGCACTATATGTAGACTTTTTTTTATCGTTTGATCTTTGGTGTGAAACTTAAGAATGATCAGGTTAAATTACTAAACCACTCTCTTAAAATAGAGAGTATATATATGCATGATGCCATAATGTGTCTCTCAAACTTGAATTCATTTCTTATTGTTTTGATTAAATAAAAAAAATGCTTTTGGTATTTGCAAAACCAGATTTGTTCTATTATTTTAAAACAAACACGTTTGGGCTACCTTTAAATCAATGTTTGTTTGCCTTATCCCGACTCAAGACAAAAAGATTGGATCGGTAGGTAGGTGGGAAGACTTTTTTTCCTAGAAAATTTCAATATACGTATTGACAAGATGCGAAAATTCAGGAATAAAATGAAAAATATATCGTTTCCTTCAGATTAAAAAAGTATCGAGTCGGGCTATTTTTAGCCAGTCGGTCAGGAGAGGGCAAACAAATATTTTTTTAAAGATGGCCTTGACAAGGATATTTGTGGATGACGGTCGGTTTGGTAGTACCCTGGATGTTATCTCTCCAGACATGTGCAGCACAAGCAAATACACACATGCACAAGAAAAAACTCAACCATGCCCCCCCCCCCTCCCCCAATACAAACAGAAGTTTCACTCATCAAGTGTAGCTCTAGCTGGAATCTTATTATTCATAACATGGCTTGACAAATTTTTTCATTACAATAGACATGATTCGTCTGTTCAATCATTTTTACTGGTGAATCTATATGTATTAACTCTTAAGAAGATACCAAAATACTTTCCTAAGACTCATTAATCGCAATTGTATGACAAACAATGAATAATCTTTTACAATCATATACAAATAGTCGAATACAAGCCAAAATATAACTTTAATTTTCTTTGTTGCTATGGGCAATTTTCTGTTGCTATGGCGATAAATTTTCTTATTGCAAAATTTGTTTTTTGGTATTCATCGGTAACATTTTATTCGATTTATATATCCCACAATTTACAATTACTCTTTCTTCTTCATCAAAACGCTCATTTTTGTTGCTAGGCAACGGATTGGAAATATCAAAAACACACCTTTTTGAATTTAAATTCCAAAAGTGATGTTCCTCTGCCTTTATGTAAAATATACGAAACTTAAGTATTGTGTCAGAAGTTTGAAAAATATGGGCTTGAATAGTGCTGAAATTTACAAAAATTCTGAATCAGCAAAAAATGCAAAACATGCATATTTTACACTGCCTATGACAGAGATGTCTTAGAATCTAATTTCTACGTTTTACACTGTTAAAACACTTCAAATGTTTATCTTTACGATAACATTCATTAAAAAGAATTCTTGTAATATTCACATTCAATTTCAAGCCTTAAATATAAGTGATTTTTTTGTCCATAAATATGGAAAATTGGCTGGTTGCTAGGGAAATTTCTTTAGGCAGGTTTCCATAGTAACCATAATCCAATTTGATTTTAATTTTACATACATAGTTCAAAGTGCGAAAGAAATCTATATATGGAAAATCATCCAATTCTGAGAACCCTCATGATTCACTTTTATACCCATCTTGCCTGATTTTTACATAGACCTGTACTTAATGACAAAGGACCCATCATCTGAACAAACAGACATAGGTGCAATTTTTTTTTAATACAAATTATCACGGTCAGCTACCAACTCTAGTGTAAATATTCAACAAATTAAAAGGTACAGAAAATAATAGAGAAAACCCTAGGTGAAAATCATGGGGAGGTTACTCTTAATAGACAAGGCACTGTTTCTATTCCTTGGCCCTCTAAAGGTGAGACTCGAGTTCTAAGTTCACCAACCAACTTTTTTTTACCCTTGCTTTTCCAGCACTCTTTCCCTATGGGTCTGGTGATTTTTACATCAATAGACCAATCACTATATCATGTATGGGACGGTATGCTGATTATTTATTATGGTATGCAGATGGCAGGTTTGCAAAGCATCTTATTTTCAAATTTGTTGTTCATAACATGATTATGCGAAAAAGAGCTTTAGAACAAAGTAATTTATTTATTAAGCAGAAACGTTAACTACTGGCAGTTGTGCAGAATTTCACTTTAAACCACTCAGACGATTGCTTTCAATGTTTGCTTCTCAAACTACTGGTACCTCTGTTGATCTAACTGATAGAAATATTCCTTTTAAAGGTCTTCAGGAAAATACACATATTGTTGCACAATACTTTGATCTCAGAACACAGTCATAGGACCTGTCTTTGGAGTTGATTTTTATTGGTATAGACAAGAGCTTGCCAAAGCAAGAAGTATGGTTCACTAATATGGTCTTTGTTGGAAATCAGATAGACAGCCTCATGATCTGTTACATAATGCAATCAGAGCTTGTTTTGTTATTAGGAACAATGTGCAGAAAAACTCTCTCAGTGGACTGCAGAAATCTTTGGTCTTACTGCTTCTCATCCTGCTGGTAAGGATAAAAATGGTAATCCAAACAGAAATTTGACCTCCACCAGAGGCTACTGTTCCTCCTGAAGAAAAGAATACCCTGTTGAAACTTTTCCTGGATGTCAGCATTTTCCAAAAAACCCTTGTGGAAGATTACTTGCTTTTGACAAATCGCTTCAATGTGCACTGTTGCTCGGATTACCGCCTGCAATCTTCACGATATAATTCCGATATAATAATTCTTTTTTAAAAAAAACTGCAGAATGGAATTTCAAAAGCAGTCATCAGTTGCTTTAGTGAAAGACCGAAACGGATTCTTGCGTTTAGAAATGAAGAGAAATCACCCCGTTTTTGTCAGTTGCTTTCATACACAAGGCTGGAGAGCAAATGGGGATATTTTTCTAATTCTCTCTAAAAATGATCCTTCTAAACAATCAGTACATAAAATTGTTGCAAGCAAAAAATAAATATCAGGTTATGCATGCAAGGGAAATGAACCGACTTGTGCTCTTTCAGATCTCTTCTCCGATTTGATCAATTGTGCAGATGAATCCTCTGGTGCAACTGGCAAATCACTCTGTACAAAGCTCCTAAGGAGCTTTCTTCTATTCCTCTTTATCGATCTAGTCATTGCTTTCAATCAGTTAGTTTATCAGTGTGTAGAGTACTTGACCAATGTGGAAGTAACACAATTGCAAAATCTACAATTGTTTAAAAATATATCTCCAGATAGGAAAATGATACTTTTTCCTTATATCAATTTATTTGTTTTTGCAAAAGTGGTAAAGACCAGTCGTCTCTGGTCCCACTCAGGCATACTGGCCAATAGTGAGAATTTTTGTAAAACATCATTGTTTTTTCACTGGCCAAACTGGCACAGACTTTCTGACATTATAGGTGTAAATATATCTTGGACAGAAAACTTAACTCATTTTTTTTTAAATTTGATACTTGTCCAAATTTTATTAAAAGCAGACATTGAGAGGGCAAAGACTTAAGAAACTTTACCCTAATATATTCAAAACAATGAAAGGGATCAGCTTGAATGGATGGAAGTCGTACGCCCAAATCCCGAGTTTGGCGAAGTTTGCACAGATTTTAATTTCAAAAGTGTGGTCTTGATTAATACTGAAGCAAAACGCATATGACTATCCAAATGATTTCGGTGAAGATTGGTGGAACACTGTAACCAACGCTGCCAACATGGATGACAAGTCTTTAAACATTTCGAATGTAGATCTACATAAAATGAATCATGAACAAATGTTAGCATTCAATATTGTTATGAAAACACTCATAAATTTTTCAAACAAAGTATATAAATACAAGCCCCTTCGAATGATTGGCTAAGGTAGGATCAAGAAAACCTTTTCTAATCAAATGTTTAGTAAAAGCAATTCGTACTTCTTTAACTCAAATAAATCTTTTCAGTTTCTGCATGTCCTACAGGTAATGTCGCAAACTTATCTCTGGTGTAACACTACACAGTTTCCTTAAATACCTATCCAGGTCAGAGGATGAGAAATGAAACACCAGAGGGTTCTATTGGGGAAAGCCTTCAGGAGAATTTATCTGACCTCTGTGTCCTACTTTTTGATTAAAGATCATTGTTTGGTTCAATGCATTAGGGTGGATGGAGTTTCACAGTAGATGTGGCACTGGCATTAGATCAGACATGGGGAGGTATTTCAGTAGTATTTTTAGGGGATGATGTGCAACTTCCACCAGTATCGGATGCCCTAGTGTATCACTCTTAAATTAAAAATCCAGCCTCAATATATGGTGTTCTTGTCTGGCAAGGATTTCACAACTTTAAAATCACTTTGCTTGGCACCCTTCCATTCTCTTCAACGAAAACAGGATCTGTCATAAAGTAAATTCTCACACAATTGTTGCCAGAGAACATGAAATAAAGAGAATAGAATGACTAGATGGATAAACAACAAAAGCCTTCAAATGTATGAAAGAAGATCCAGCTATTGTTATCTAATTCCAGAAATTAACATTATCTTGTGTCTCAGAGGAGTTTTTATTATTATTATT